TTTTTATTTTTTTTTATTTTTTTTTATTTTTTAGGATCAACATTAGTTAAAACAAAAATGTTTATCTGGTTGCAGTTTGCAGTTTGTTCCTCCAGATGGAACCATGTTAAATGAGCACATCCTTTAATATGATGAACTGTTTGATTAAAAAAAAACACATACATAAACAAAGAAATAAATCTTTTTTTTCAGCTTTAATTGTGCAGTAACTCACCACTTTGGGATTTGTGTTTTATGTTTTCAGTATATATATTATCCTTTTTGTTTTATCTTGGAAGTTGTTCAAGACACAGTGAAAAAATGAACACATCTGTTGAAGTTAACTTCTATGTTTGACTATTTTTATATTTTGTTGCAGTTTACAGAGTCTCAGTGATTTCAACCTGGAGTAGTGAAGAGATTAAATTATTAACTTTTCTAAACTTCTCTATTTTTCAACACATTGTAGTTACTAGAGCATCTCGCGAAGGGTCAGAGGACCCTGGCCGGGGAGGGCATGTCTCAGATCGTACGGAGTCTCCTGGAACTCTTGCAGAGAAGGAACTACTACAGTGGTGACCTTCTCTTCTCCACGGAGATCCTACGAAATGTGACTGACACCTTCAAAAGAGCAACCTACATCCCAGCTCCCGATGACGTGCAGGTGAGCGCAGCTTCTAGTCTTCTGGCTGAGACCTCTCACTTATTTACCCTGTTTTTTTTCTTTTTAATACAGATACTGACAACATTTTAAAGAGTATTCCTTAAGGAAGCTATGTTTTCTAACCCATGATATTTGCGTAAAACATCCCGAAGAAACACTATGGATGTAATTCAGTACACAATTCAAACTTAATAATTTATTTGTTCTGTTTGAAACCATAGCACGTCTAAAACGTGCCCCAAAGGACAGAAGTGGTGACATCACAAGTGGATGAATTGTGTTGTCAGGCAGTTGTCCAAGCATCTGACAATCAAAACAGTGCGTGAAGGTCACCAGATACAAAAGATGCCTCGTACATCCATTAGACAATATTACCAGCACTTGACAGAGTTTATATCGGTAACATTGAGGGTTCACTCGAGGACACATGGCCATGCTGTGCAACTGCTTGGCCAGTCTGCGGTGCATGCAGATGTCAGGGTGACCTGATGTTGGAACAAATGAGAGGGCACCTAAACAACAGGCCACTTCTGTTAGTAGATAAGTGAACCACCATGCAGTATTATGTCAGTCACATCCTGCTTCCTCAGATCTTATTCCTCCTGAAACAGTATATCAATACAGCCTTTTATTGGGGGGATATTATGCATTTTCCAGGCACATAGTTCAACCACAATCAAGTAAATATGTTACCTTCATGTAATTAAAAAGCTGTAAAAAATAAATTTGACTTTGAGACAGATGTGCAGTTCCACCAGGTGTTTGTTAACTGTTGTTGCTGCTAATCTAGTGGAGCTGTGTGGGGGAAGCGCAAAGGCTGGGTGCTCTGTGGGGCAGGAGCTTGGCTGGGGACTGATCTCCTGGGAGGAGTTTGGGGTAAATCGGTGGTGCTTTGTAAAAACAAGTGCTCCGCGTGGCTACCACAAGAGATTCAAGGTTTTCTCAAACATGCATGAATGAGTCAAAGCAACACTCTGGGTATGTTTTTGATGATGGGATGTCATGATAAATTGCTTAATATAAGCCAGTTTTGCATAATGTCCCCCCTTTAAACAAAACAACACCTGTCCATACAAGGCATGTGTGGCTTCTGTGTGTTATGTTGAGATTCTTCCCAGTCAGCCAGGTTCCCCAATCTTTTCCCAATTAAGTGTGTGGGATCAACCCAAGCATCAATTCTGACTCATTACAGATTTGGCTAGTTCTGAGGGCCAATTACAACAGTTGTGGGCTGACAGCTCACAGGGAATGCTGCAACAGTTGCATGACTTTGTGTGTTCCTTGTATTCCTGCTTGATGGGATGCCATACCCTACTAAGACCAGCAGTGTGTCATTTGATCTGCTATTGTAATCAATGCAGTATTGAAAAATGACCTTCTGAACAAGATGTTTTATTTAATTTCCACCACTCTTTTCTTTTTTTATTTCTTATTGTAAGTGAGAAGCTTTTTTCTAGTCTTAGACAATAAATTTAAATATGCTTACATTATTAACAGATGACAGTTTTTTATTTTTTATTTTTATGTTTTGCGTAAATTTGTGATCGGGTAATTATTGTAATCCTACTTTAACACCAAAACCCTTTCCCTCTGCATTTAGAAATTCTTCCAGATTGTCAGCCACATGTTGGACTTAGAAAATCTTGAGAAATGGGAGGACGCTCACCAGGTAAAACCCTCTGTGCTGTTGTGATGACGTGTATGTTTGGTTGTGTTTTTTTTTTTTTATCTAACTGCCAAAATTAGTGTCTGTCTACAACTGCACCACTGTCTGTGTGTTTTTTTTTTCATGCAAGGTTGCTGCAACTTTATTTTATAGTGACTTTTTATAGTTCCAGCCATAAAACCACACCTGTAGACTGTGTCTACTTGTTCATTTTACCCTGTGTGTATCTTTGCATGAGTTGTTGCATGTGAGCCATCCAGATGCCCTTGATTTAAAGTGTTTACTTGCCATCTGGATGTAATTAATAAGCAACCCAATGGGGTATTTTATTCTACATATAGTCACTATTTCCAGCACTGGAACATCATAAATGGCCTTTTAAAAAAAAAAAAAGAATGTAGAAAAGTTGGCACAGAATTTCAATTATGATATCAGGATCATACTCACCTTTCACTTTTTCTTTTCTTTTTCTTTTAATATATTTCTATCCACAGGTCGCTCCCGGTGCTGCTTTGCTCATGAGGATATTAGAAGACTTTATTCACCTCATTGGAGAAGCCCAGAAGCCCTTTCAGAGTTTTCTGGTGGTTACAAACAACCTCAGTAAGTCCATCGTTTACCAATTCATTATGGACAAAATGATGGATTCACTTTTATTTCATGTATGAATTCAGGTTAACTTTTTGTGTTTAGTCCATTCCAGTCAGAATTATGTTTATGTTTGTTTTTCTTCAATAAAAAATTAATGAAGTTGTAACTTTTTAACATACTTTATGTTTCACCCTAGAGTTTGAAAGGTTTATTCCGTTTGGTTTCTCTCACTTGTTAAGTGATAACCATCCAGAGAGAGCCGGTGTCAGCAGTTTCGAGTGATGTCAACTTTCCTATGAAAGGACGAAGAGGGATGAAGGACTGGGCCAGGACAGCTGAAGACAAGCTCTACATACCTAAAGAAGTTTTTACCATCCCCACTGAGGGTAAGACATTCAGCATCAATGACTGACCAGGATTGGTCATGTGTTTGTACCAATTCTTTCTTCTTATTATGTTTGGTGTTCAGGCCCATACAACATATTAGGCTGCATTTATTTCAGGGTTTTCATACAAAAAATACATATTAAAAAATTGTCAGAAAAAAATAAATACTTATTTTGTGGCTAATGATGGCTTTTCCAGATGATAAAACAATACTTTGCTTTAGGTATTTTAATAAATCTAACAAATAAATTTGGTGTGTCTGTCACTGTGACACATAAAACTGTTTATTTGTTAAAACAAAATGTGTTCAAGTTTGAACTCATTTCTTCAAGATCTCTGAAGTTCTGGAACAAATGGTTCATTTGTTCCTAAGTCGCTACTACTAAATGGACTAAAGCAGTGTTTCCCGTCAGGACCCAAAGTGGGGTCCCGAAACATCAAGGTGGGCTCCTGAAAAGATTTTCTGAATTAATTACATTTTTGCCTTAGTTGTTACAAATGAGTGAGGTTAGTATATTTAAAATGGATTAATGTAATATAAAAAAACATTGTTACTATGCCCATGTTTTGTTGATCTGATACAATTGTTTATCATCCAAAAATATCTGGGGGCTCAGGTCTCTGCTACTGTTTTGTACTATTCTGTGGGTCAAAAGCTGAAAAGTTTGGGAACCACTGGGGCTTGGGACCCAATTATGGGTCATGAAGCACCTTGGATAACCTCCAGAAATCAATTTAAAGGGTAATAAAATGATTGCTGATGTAAAATATTCCCTATATTTATAACAAAAACACAAAATAAGTAAAAAATAAGTATTTATATTTGTGTATAAGCTGCTTAGAATGTCAAAAAGCATGTGTTTTTAGGTTTATTAACGAAGTTCATGTACTCAGACCAGTGATATTTGGGGCCACAAGTTTTTGCCATGGATATTTTGTGGGTCAGAAGACAAAAAGTTTGGGAACCACTGGACTAAAGTCACTGGTTGATTTATTTAAATAAGCAGGTTTTTTTATTCACTAAGTGAAATTACTGAACAACAGTGTTTTACCATTGGTTTATGCCACTGCTGAAATGTATCAGGAGGAGAAAGACCCCGCGCGCTCCGCAGCGACACTTTCCAGCTCGTCCTGGGGGACTCCGAGACGTTCCCAGACCAGAGGGGATATATAATCCCTCCAGCGAGTCCTTGATTTTCTCCAAAGTGCCAGACWTATTTTGAAAACATTTTAAAATGCTTATTTCAAACCCGCATCTGAGACCACCGCAGCGCGGGGGGGTGGGGGGTGGGGGGGTGCACGGTGCGCAGCGCTGCGCTGCGGCTTCTGAATAAATGAAAATGATTTAACACAGTTGTTTATACTTTTAGCAGCTCTTTTTTATCCCACAGCTGACCTGCTAAAAATGACAGATTTTCTTTTCTGGATCTCTGACAGATGGACTTCAATCTCTGAACTCGTAAAGTTCTTCTTTTTTATAATTATCGCTGTCATTTCTCATGAATGAATGGACACTTCCTTGTATGTGAGGTAGGGAACACAGCCTTATATGGTGTTTTTGGGGTGGTTATTATGTTAATCTCCTCTCGCGTGCAGCTGGATAGAACGGGTGTAAATTACGCAGCTCATTTACGCACGTTTCCTGAAGATAGAAGCGTTTGTTGAATCTGACGTGACATGTTCGTACGAACCCTTTGTACGAACAAAAGTAAGAGAAATTTAGGATAAGAATACGAACATGTTCTTGCATGAGGCCCAATGACTTCAAGCATGAAAGTGTGATAGGATTCCACTTTTTTTTAGCAAAACAGTTTGTGGAATTTCATTCTTACGGAATATTCTATAGCTAACTGTAAGTTGTATTATTAGGAAGTGGATGCATTTAGGAACAGCAGCAATTCAGTCACATAGTAAAAGATTATGAGCAAAACTAAAAATAAATAAATAAAAGACTAGCCAAAACTGGTCTCTCATCTCCAGGGATCACAAAAGTACATATTTTATTCACTAAAAATATTACTTTCATGAAAAACACTACTATTTAGTTTGATGTATTCAATTTAAAAGCTGGAAACCAAATCAAGCTATTAATTACCTCTAATAGGCATAGATATACTGAAATTGGCTTTGCTTTTCTCCATTAGACTTTTTAAATTAATGTATTTTTTTATTTTTATACAGTCACAACAACTAAGATTTTATTAGACATGTACAGATGTGTCATATTTGGTTTGACTTAGGATTAGGTTTGGCTTTCTAAATAAGATATAAATGTTCTACATGACGTTTTTTGCAGTTTTGATAAATAGTTCTACACACTATACTGTATATAAAAGTGATGATGTTAGGTCTGTTTATGTAGATGGGTGACAACCATTGTCATATTGACTTTTTGAAATGATTCATGTAGCAATTGAATATTTGAATCAATTGATTTTCTGACTTGGAATTAAGGGGTATACAGTATGGTGGGGTAAGCATTGTAGTAAATGTATTCAGCCTTGGAATAAGTAAAGCGTTTTGTCTTTCAGGCAAATAGGAAAAAGAAATGCAAAAATGTTACAAAAAATATATCTAAAAATCTGTCATGGCCTACCATTCTCAATGTTTTTTTTTTAACCAAGCTTGTTAAGAACTAACACAAATTCCCCTCTGACAGTTTACATTCTAAGAAATCGTTCTCCCTGAGGTTCACTGAAGGTCTCAAAAATGGTAAAAGATAACTCTGAGAAGGATCTAGAGTGTGAAATGGCCCTAAAGGGCTTTGTAGGAAGATGCATGCCTTTTAGCTGTATGGAAGTTTGCTGTATTCCTTTGAAAGCATCAAGTCTTCATGCAATTTTGATGTCAGTTCACTCCGAAGAACACAGGGACATTGCAAACTGTCAGAACTCATGTTTTTTGTTGCTTCAGTTAACCCAGAAATACACATACACACATACAGTATATTAACAGGGGTTAGACAATGAAACTGAAACACCTGTCATTTTAGTGTGGGAGGTTTCATGGCTAAATTGGACCAACCTGGTGGACAATCTTCATTATTTGCACATTGCATCTGTAAGACCATAGTGTGAAGGTTCAATTAGCAGGGTAAGAGCACAGTTTTGCTGAAAAATATTGAAATGCACACAACATTATGGGTGACATACCAGAGTTCAAAAGAGGACAAATTGTTGGTGCATCTGTGACCAAGACAGCAAGTCCTTGTGATGTATCAAGAGCCATGGTATCCAGGGTAATGTCAGCATACCACCAAGAAGGACCAACCACATCCAACAGGATTAACTGTGGATGCAAGAAGAAGCTGTCTGAAAGGGATGTTATGGTCTAAAACAGGGGGTGTCAAACTCCAGTCCTCGAGGGCCGCTATCCTGCATGTTTTAGAGGTTTTCCAGCTCCAACACACCTGATTCAGTGATTGAATTAACTCTTCAAATTGGGCAGAAGCCTGTTAATTACCCAGCGATCAAAATCTGGTGTGTTGGAGCAAGAAAACCTCTAAAACATGCAGGATAGCGGCCCTCGAGGACAGGAGTTTGACACCCCTGGAGTAAAGGATTTAATTTAGTAGTTACTGTACATCGTTTGCACAGAAGTTTGCAGTGTAGTGCCAGAGGCACTAGGTGTGGTTACCTGGCCTTC